AAGGAGGAGGCTGCAATGCTTGGTAAGAAATGTACTCATTATCCTGCCCATGCAATTGTAACCCCTCTGTACAGTATGTTCACAAATAAAATTAAATTAAATTTAAAAAAAAAGAAAAGAAAAAAGAAAACTCCAACTCTGTGATCCCAGAGTATCTAGGCTAAAACAATAATAAAGCAAACACTGATGCATACTTCGTACATATATGATAGTATTTCCAGTATGCAATTTGCATCCATTGTCATGCCTGCAAAACATTTGTGTTCCCAATGTATTAAGTAGTCCCAGTTGCATATACTAGATGCTTGCATAGCGCATGGGTACCACTTATTTAATGCCAAGAACTTTAGTAGTAACTTGGAGATAACTACCTGACAGGGAGAGAAGGTGCATACCTAGAAAACTGGGATTGCCTGTGCCTTACTCATGTTCCCATCGTGGGGGGGGGGGGCGCGTGCACGCTCACGCATGCACGTGCGCGTACATGCATGTGTGTGTACACGCGCTGATCCTGGAGCTTGAACTTAAGGGGCCTGAGACTTATCTCAGAACTTTTTGCTCAAAGCTAGTGCTCTACCACTTGAGCCGCAGCCCCACTTCTGGCTTTTGGGGGGTCAATTCACGATAAGAGGCTCATGGACTTTCCTGCCTGGACTGGCTTCAAACTGTGATCCTCAGATCTTAGCTTTCTGAAAAGTTAGGATTGCAGGCATCCCTTTTTTCTAAATGATGAAAGCAGAGTCATCCCTCTGTTACTTGGATCCCCAAACTGAGGTTAGAAGCACAGATTAGCTTCCATTTGTGCAATGAACACCCTTTGTCTTCTGTTTAACTCCTCTAGATACAGCTTATTGAAAGCATTGGCCGAAAACTGTCTGTCCTGCGGGAGGCCCAGCGAGGTCTAATGGAGGATATCAATGGGAATTCTGCCCTTGGAGAGGAGGTGGAGACCAACTTAAAAGCTGTCTGCAAATCTAATGAGTTTGAAAAATACCGCTTGTTTATTGGGGACCTAGACAAAGTGGTCAATCTGTTGCTGTCACTCTCTGGACGACTGGCACGGGTGGAGAATGCTCTCAACAGTATTGATTCAGGAGCCAACCAAGAAAAGGTAGAGTTGGGGAGTGTCTGTCGATGGGAATGGAGGGAAATGCCATCTAATTCTTCTTGGCCCTCTCTTGTTCATGTTTAGCTACTGAGGAGGCAAAATAGCTTAAAGTTAATGTTATGAAAGATTTTAGGCCCCAGAGCCAAACTTCTGGACTTTAGAGGTCAAGTCCAGTCACTGCAATTCATCAAAGAGACAAGGGATGTCCAAGGAGAGAGAAAGAAGGTTTATCCCATAGCATGGGGATGTAGCAAGTGTCGCATCTCAAACCATCTTCCCAGTATAGCTTTTGGTTTAAGTAGGAGGAAGAATTGGGGGAAGGGAAATATATGCATAATTATTAATTACTTCCAGTCATAGGTGTGTTCCAGTGGCCATAATTGATTATAGATGGCAGCCAGAGATGGTCTGGCAGCTTACTGTGGCAGGATTGGTCAGGTGGGGCCTTGTTATAATAAGGCATTGATGCCTGGCAGGTGGCTTTTATTGCCATCTTGAATTCTGGGATGAATGCAAAGTGGCTGCAGGAGAGAATGACTTAAAGCAAAGAACACAGATACAAAATGGAGGCTGGGAATCCTAAATTTTATCTTTTCAGTTAATTTGTAGGCCAAGTAAGAAGTAAGTGATTTGTGGCAAAAGCAAAAAGCTTCTTACACTAAGAGTGTGAGCACTGGCTTTTTATTTTATTTATTTATTTTGGTGCTGGTACTAGGGCTTAAACTCAGGGTCTTGACACTGTCCTTGAACTTTCTTCCTCAAGGCTAGCGATCTACCATTTGAGCCACAGGTCCACTTCTGGCTTTTTGGTGGGTAATTGGAGATATGAATCTCACAGACTTTCCTCCCTGGTCTGGCTTTGAACTTCAATATTCGGATCTCAGACTCCTGAGTAGCTAGGATTACAAGTGTGAGCCACCGGTGCCCAGCTAGCAGTGGCTTTTTAGTACCCTGATTTTCTGGCTCTACTGCTTATTAGGTGTGCAGCTATGTACAATTTATTTAGCCTTGCTCTGTGTCCATTGCTTCATCTCTGAAACACTGGGCAAACAAACTACCTGCCTCATGGGCTTGTTATGAGGATTAAAATAGCCAACCAATGCTAGAATAAAACAGAGCCTAGAACAGTGTAAGAGTTTTTATTAAACCAGTGCTAGCTGTCAGTAAAAACAGTAGCAATTTTGGCTTTGCCTTGAGTTAGAAGGGGAAGATTTATCAAGTAGTTGAGCCGGGGATGCTCTCACTTTTACAGAGTGGCTCACTCTTCATCCATTCTCCAACCATTACCTTTCCCTACAAATGACTTGGAATCCACACTAAGAGGCACATGTTCATATCCACACACAGTGGTTCATGCCTGTTCTCCTAGCTATTCAGAAGGCTGACATGTGAGGATCTATGTTCAAAATCAGCCCAGGCAGAAAAGTCTGTATCATCAATTAACCAGCAAAGAGCTGGAAGTGGAGGTGTGGCTCAAATGGCAGAGCCAGTCTTGAGAGAACAAACCAAGCAAGAGCATGAGGTCCTGAATTTAAGCCCTAGTACTAACACAAAAAGGAAGAAGGAGGGAGGGAAGAAGCAAGGAAGGAAAGAAAGAGAAGAAAGAAAGGAAGAAAAAAGAAAGAAAAAGAAAGGCAAGAGAGAAAGAGAAAGAAAGAAAGAAAGAAAGAAAGAAAGAAAGAAAGAAAGAAAGAAAGAAAGAAAGAAAGAAAGAAAGAAAGGGAAGAAGAGACAGTAAAACATTGCCACCATGCTGCTTGCTCATCAGATACATGGGACAAAGGCTGGTTTTGACATAGCTTTCTTGCCCTACCAAACATGCTAGTGGTTCACATATTAAAGACAGCCTTAGCAATAGAAAGATGATTGTCCACACCCATGTTACAATCACTTTCACACTTACCCAGCTACAGGGGGAAAAAAAGCTGCTGCATGGAGGTGGACTTTTGAGAAGAAAAACTAGGAGACCAATTAGCAGAATGGATAGCAGCTTTGTGGCCACCTTCTCAGTGGGGCCTTGCTAGGCAGATACTTAGTAATTGACATAGCCTTTAATTTGGTCTTCTGCTTTCCCAGCTGGTGCTGATTGAGAAGAAGCAGCAGCTGACCAGCCAGTTGGCAGATGCCAAGGAGTTGAAGGAACATGTGGACCGCCGGGAGAAGTTGGTGTTTGGCATGGTCTCACGATACCTGCCTCAGGACCAGCTTCAAGATTACCAGCATTTTGTCAAGATGAAATCAGCTCTCATCATTGAACAGAGAGAGCTGGAGGAGAAGATCAAACTTGGGGAAGAGCAGCTCAAATGTCTCAGGGAGAGCCTACTCCTGGGGCCTAGCAATTTCTAGTCCAACCAGCAGGCTGCCATAGCATCCCAGTGGGAAATGCTTTCAATCTTCAGTCCAGCTATGTTAGCAAGTACATAGCAGTTAGATTGTTCCAGCCCTCTACTTTGGATGTCTCGCATGGTCTTTTTCCTAGCATTGCTCCCAAAGAGCTAGGAGACCTTGGAGAGGCACCAAGCTTCTACGCAAGGTAGCTGCTGCCTTGTGTGATCACTCAGCCACACTTTCCCACAGTAATATGGGCCAGCACTTGCTGCCCACGGAACCAACCAAGTGCCTTTATTTTTCTCTGTATGAGGACACCAAAGACATCATGAACTTACCACCCACCCACACCATAATCAGCTGCTTTCAGGCTCAGAGAGTAACTGCCTGTGCAGCTTCTGCTGCACCAGGGAGTCATGACCCCACTGTTAGCCACAGACAACCAGCTGACTTGTGGGCATTCACCTACCAGCATTTCAGGGCCTCATCCAAGCTTTGCAAGGGGACTGCATGGAACAGAATACAAGCAAAATTGAGGTATCACCAGGTGAAGTGGCCAGGGGTAAATTGGTTCCAGTTCTACCTTTCCCCAGCAGCTAGTTAAAGAGAGCCCTGGCTGGGGTCGTGTTTCTCATTCTGTCCTTGTATGGCATTGCTTGGAGTTACAAGCATGTCCTCCATGGTTGCACACTAGGAACCTTTACTAGCTCAACTACAGTTGACTTCTGGATATAGGTTTCTTTTGGAGGATGGGAGTGGGGAGGGCTCTTATTATATTTGAAATGGCATCTCGATTTTTATTTATTTTTATGTTTTGATTGTTTTTGTTCTGTTTTGTTTGTTTTTTTTTCTTTTTAAACTAATATGGCAAGAAGAGGGAAGTTGGAGAGGGAAAAGTTAGCCCAGAAGGAAAGTGTTATCTGTAGTTTAGCCTCAATCCACCCTGTCTTAGGTAAGCAAGTGCCAAGGCATTAAATTCTTCCCACCATAACCACACGTGTCTTAAGAAAGGGGTTTTCCTATTGAACTCAGAACCTCCCAACCATGGCCTGGCTCTGTACCTCTTGAAATCTGAGTGACCATGAGCTTAGCATTCCTGAGCAAAGTTCAACTTTTTTTCCCAAAGTATTTTTTGAAACCAAAGAAATCTAAAACTGACAAAGGTCACTCCTTTCGCTACTGTCTCCAAACCATGGGATGAGTTGGAAGCAAACTCAGGAGGTCCTCTTCTAACAACAAACTGGTTTCTCAGCCTATGGCCTGGATCATGGAACTAAAATTATGATGGTTGGGAATTATAGCCAGGGCCAGACCTGAGAGAAAATGATGAGCCAGCTATTAGACCCTCTTATCCTCGGGGTATATTTAAAGACCTTCCACTGGATGCCTGAACCAAACCTTATACTTACCATCACAACACTCAATCTGACAACTGAGAGGGTTGCTAAATGGTTAATGGGAGGATACCCCAAACAGCCAAGTATACACTGAACAAAGGGATGACTCATGTTTTACGATTCATGTTCAAATTTGTTTCTAGGATAGAGTAAGATAGGGTCAAATTTCATCACACTACTCATAAAGGAACACAATTGAAAGCGTATACATTGCTTATCCATTTAATATTTTTACATCATGGTTTATCACCACAGGTAACTGAAACCATGGAAAGATGAGGTGTGTGTGGGGGGGTGGATTACTGTACAAATAACTAAAGCTGCTGCTATTTCCCAGATCCTGACACTAGTAACCAGCTTCTATCCTGGAAAAGCACTCAGGTGGGCAATGGCAGGAGGGGATTGTAACTAAACTCTCTTCTGTTTTCTAGCTTAATTTCTTGTTCCTTGCTGAAGTGGGGCCTGTTCTTAGTGTTATACAACCCATCTAAATCCAGCATGGCCAAGCCCCACTGCAGTATCTCTTCTTGTTACTGCTAAGTTCCTCGGGGTCCTTGCAGGTTCACTGTAGTAGCAGGGAGACCTTATTCAAACCAAAGAATTTGTCAAGGAACTTTGCTGCTGCTACAAATACTGATCACTAGCTTCCATTTCCTCTACATTGTGTCTGAAATCAATAGGAGAATTTTGGCCAGCAGGGTGTCTGGGAGGTGTGGTAACCCTGTTTATGGGATTCTTGAGTATGCTTTTAGTACGGCCCTCACTGCTAGAACCACTGTTAGAACCCATTCTCCCCTGAAGTGGAAGATTCTAGAAAGACTAGTAGCTTGTAAAATACAACATCTACTCAAAGGAAGGATGAGGAAATGCAAGAGTGCTTTGAACATAGAATATAGTTGCTTAAAAAAATAAACAGGTCCAGGACAAACAAGAAACAAAGTGAAATGTATGGGGGAAGAGACCAGTGTGTGCTATTGTCCTAAGATTTCTTTTGACTATAATATGGGAATTTGGGGGAATATGGGCCTAGTGAAAAGGGAAACTTCTTATGAGGACATCATGGCCATAATGTCAGTGTTTATAGTCATGGTTAAATTGATGATACCTTAAGTTTATGATACCAAAAACATGATGAATTGCATGTGTCTGTGTATGTATGTATGTATGTATTTATGTATGTATATATTGATGGGGGTGGGACTCAGTGTCTTGTGCATGCCAAGCAAGCACTCTACCACTGAGCTACAGCCCCAGCCCTAACTCTGGTATTATTGGCATTCATCCCAACCTCAAATTCGTTTCTAGGGTTGTAGTTACAACACAAAAATACTTAGTTTCCAAAGCATTTAAAATATATTTTCAAGACTAGCTAGATGCTGGTGACTCATGCCTGTAATCCTAGCTACTCAGGAAGCTGAGATCTGAAGATCATAGATCAATGCCAGTCCAGCTAGAAAAAGTTAATGACATTCTTCAAGCTGCCGGTGTTACTTGTGCTAGTGCATCTCTTCCTATTCTGTTTCTAGGCTCAGGCCTTCCTCTAAGGCCTCTGAGGGCATAGCAGTTTGAAGGCAGGTTAAAGGATTTCTCCAAAGGGGAAATCCTTACATAAGCCCCATTGAGAAATAGTTAAGCAGGGAGGTAGGTAGCTAGAAAGAAGTGAGCAAGATTCCTATTATATGTTCCCTCATTCTTCCCCCACTTCCCAAACTGAATAATTGAGTCACCTTGAGACTCAATAGCTGGAGACTAAGGCAGGATATAGAAGTGCAATCTAAGAGAATAAGACAAACACTGAAATTAAAGCAATAGAAAGGGAGAGATTAAATGTGGAGGAATGGAGAGAGGGTCAAAAGTCAAAAGCCTCTCTCGGGGCAATGTCAGATTGTATTTTCTGTGTAACTTTATATGCCAAAAAAGCCACCCATGAGCACCAGAGCCACATCCTGAACTCCAGCTTCCCTGAAGGTGCTGCTCTGCCAGTAACAGGCCCTCGATGGAGGAATCTGGGTACATTCTGGCCATTTCCACCCATCGAAAGCTTGACAACTCCTGCTGTCTTTGCCAAGGGAGTTGTTGATGCCAATAATATTTCTGTAACAGCATATTATATAATTTGAAGATTAGTTGATCTTTAGGGGGGTGGGGTGGGGCCATTTGTATAGATAAAGAACAAGTGTTTGTTGTACAACTTTGGGGGGGGGCATTTATCCAATGTGAAGGTATTTTTTTTCCTAAATCTTATTGTTTCTGAATTTGTGTCCTCCACCATGCCCATCTTGGCTGACGTAGATATATGCCTGCCAGGTTGTCACCACGGGTCATACTTAAATAAAAGGTGCTAAGGACAAAAGGAATTGTCTCATGTGTTTTGACTTAGGTAATGAAAATCCCTTAATTTTTTAAATAAGTTTTTTATTGTGAAAATACTGTACAGAGGGGTTACAATCACATGAGCAAGGTAATGAGTACATTTCTTATCAAGCATTGTTGCCTCCTCCTCCCTTAATATTTTATTTAAAAGCATTACAAAAGAATTGTGTCACCTATACATAATCCTTCATAGGTAGCTACATGACCAGAGCCACATCTACATTTCTAAATCTTTATTCTGATCCCTTGGGGATAGTGTTAATACCTGTACCACTTATTTACCCAGTAAAAGAGTAGGGTCTCTTTTTTTTTTTTTTTGTCAGTTGTGGGGCTTGAACTCTAGGCCTGGGCGCTGTCCCTCAGCTCTTCAGCTCAAGGCAAATGCTCTACCTCTTTGAGCCACAGCACCATTTCCAGTTTTCTTGTAGTTAATTGGAGATAAGAGTCTCATGGACTTTCCTTTCATAGACTTTCATGGACTTTCCTGGCCTGGCTTTTAACCATGATCCTCAGATCTCAGCCTCCTGAGTAGCTAAGATTACAGGTGTGAGCTAGTGGTGCCTGGCGAATAGAGTCTTTTATAGTCTTTTTAAGGGTAACAACTTTTATGCATCTATTCAAGAACACTGTGAGTAAGGAACACAGAGTTATGCTATGGATTACCATAGGATTGAAGAACACTATTTTCTTACTTAGGTACTCAGGAACACAAGCCCTATCCTATAATATATGTCTTATATATGTTATATCCTATATGTGTATCCTAACATCTATCTATCTATCTATCTATCTATCTATCTATCTATCTATCTATCTATCTATCTATTCCAACATATCCTATAATCCTAGCCTGTAACACTAGCTACTCAGGAGACTGAGATTGGAGTATCCCAGTATAAAGTCATCCTGGGCTGATAAATCAGTCTCTTCAATCAACAGCAGAAATCCAGAGGTGGAGATGTGCGTCGAATATTAGAACTCTAGCACTGAGCAAAAAAAAGCCAAATAACAGCACCCAGGCCCTAGTTCATGCTCTAGTACAGGTACAAAAACAGTAATAATAATAACCACAACAATAACAAGTATTGAGGAGAAAATGGAGTTCTCACATAAAGCTGATGGGGATATACACTGATACAGAGAACCTGGAGAGCAGTTTCTCACAGCATTGAACAAAGTTTTCATATGCCTGTATATCAAATAATTGAAAACAGGTGTTCAAACAAAAACATATATATGCTTTGGCCACAAAGTGGAAAAAATCCAAATGTCCAATCAATTGAGGCGTAGATAAACGTACTGTGGTATATCACCACACTGAAATTTAATTCAGCCATAAAAATAAAGTACTGTCACAAATTACACATAGTCAAACCTTGGAAAAGGAGCCAGTAACAAAGGAGCACATGTGATTCGCTTTTATTTATGCATGAAAACTGTTTCTTGCTGGGCACTTATGGTTCACCCTGCAATCTTAGCTACTCAGGAGGCTGAGATCTGAGGACCCAGGTTCAAAACCAGCCTGCACAGAAACATCTGTGAGACTCTTATCTCTAGTTACCCAGCAAAAAGCCAAAAGTGAAGGTATGGCTCAAGTAGTAAAGTGCCAGTCTTGGGGGGAAAAAAAGGTAAGGGAGACTACCTTGGCCTTGAGTTCAAACCTCATTACAGACAGACAGACAGTCACACACACACACACACACACACACACACACACACACACACACACACACACACACACACACAACTTTCTTGTTTCCATCAATCTCTTTTTTTTTGTTGGTGGTGGTGGTTGTGAGGCTTGAATTCAGGGCTCGAGTGCTGTCCCTGAGCTCTTTTGTTCAGGGCTAGTGTTCTACCACTTGGAGCCATAGCTCTACTTCCAGTTTTTGAGCGGTTAATTGGAGATAAGAGTCTCACTAGGAGTTTTCTGCCCAGGCTGGCTTTGAACTGTGATCTTCAGATCTTAGCCTTCCGAGTAGCTAGGATTACAGGTGTGAGCCACCAGCACACAGCTCAATTTCATTCTTATTCTTAATTGATGGTGAGCATGTAGTGTATTCTCAAATTTGAATGGTACAATACTCAAAACCTTTTAATTGGTGGAGAGGCTTATCATTACCTTTTCCCCTCATAGACTTGATAAACTCATAAACACAAGGAAAGAGACTGGTCAGCCTTGTGTCATGACTTCAGTGGGAATAATAGGACTGGGACCTGTGGGGAGGAGGAACTATCTTTCTGGGCATGTCAAAGGATAGGTAGTAGTAAATTGGTAGGTAGTAACTTCGGCTTATTAGGCAAATATAACAGGCTTTAAATGCTGACTGACCCAACTTGCTGTGTCTTCTTAAAGTTATGTGATTTTCTCACCCTTAATTTCTTCATGTGTAGAAATACAACTTTCGTTTTATTAAGAAGACTAAATGGAAAAATTATATTAAGTGAAGTAAGCCAGGCCCAAAGAAACATAGGTCCCATGGTTTCCCTTATTTGCAATAGCTAGTATATGTCTGAGTCAAGCAGAAAGGGTCAGATAAGTTGATGTTAGGGGAATGAATCCCAAGATAAGTATTCAAGTGTTTTTTTTTCTTTCATGCGATTGTTTCTAACATATCTATAAGATGATTTCTATGTTGCTTTGTATGTCCCTCCCCCAAGGTATAACCCCTGCTTTCACTGTATTTGATGTTGATATAATTTGTGGAGGGGAAGGGCAAAAACAAATCATTTAACTAGGGATACAGGTGGACCCATTGCAACAATGAGATGTACAAGTTGTTATGTCGAAAAACAAACTTCACAACTTTGGTGGTGGGGGGGGAGGTTCTGGTGGGGGGAGGTGGAGGGAGTTTGGGAAGGGATGGGAAGGGGAAACAAAGAGGAGGCAACAATGCTTGATAAGAAATGTACTCATACATCAGCCATGTGTGGTATATAAACAAATGAGGTCCTTCCTTTTGGAACTAAAGGTGTGTGCTTGAGCTGTGGTCAATGAGTATTCATTCAGCAGCAGTTTTAAGAGGTGAAGCTTTTAAGAGGTCACAAGGATGGGAGGATCTGCACTTATGAACCAGATTAATGCTGCAATCTTGGAACTGGGTTATTTTGTGAATGAATTTGTAATGAAATGAAGAATTTGTTCTTCCCCTCTTTCTCCCGCCCTCCTCTCTCTCTTTTTTTCTCTCTCTCTTTCCTTCCCTCCTACTACCTTCTATCATGGGGTGATGTAACACAAGCTCCTACCAGATGTGGGTCTAGTCCCTCAATTTGGACACCCTAGACTCCAGAAGTATAAGAAATAAACCTCTCTTCTTTATACAATTAAAAAAAAAAGAAATGTACTCATTATCTTGCCCATGTAATTGTAACTCCTCTGTATGGTATTCTCACAATAAAAAATAAAAATTAAAATTAAAAAAAGAAGACTAAATGGGATAATTCCCACAAAGCTCTTCAAGCAATGCTTGCCATTTAGTTATTTTTTTTTTGTTTTAATTTATTTTATTCTATGCCGATCCTGGGGCTTGAAGTCAGACCCTGGGTGCTCTCTCTGAGCCTTTTTGCCACAGCTCTACTTCTGCAGTTTTGGGGTTGGGATTTTTTTTTTAGTTGTCTTTGTTTCTGTTTGTTTGTGGGAGGGTTGTGTAACTAATTGGAAATAAGAGTCTCACAGACTTTTCTGCCTGGGCTGGCTTTGAAACACTATTCTCAGATCTTAGTCTCCTGAGTAGCTAGGATTAGAGGCGTGAGCTACCAGCACCCAGCATAATTAACTACTTTATAATGTTAGTTGCTAACTCGTTTTCTTTAAACTAAAGTTGAAACAAAGCGATATATGGAAAAGCAAAGTACCTTTAGCTTTGGGGGTGGACAGCTTTGTTAATATGATCTTAGAAAGTTGCTTATTGCTGGTCATCCATGGCTGGCAAAAATGGTTAGTTGATTATCTCCAATTAATCACTAAAATGCTGGAAGTGGAATGCTCAAGTAGTAGATCACTATCCTTGAGCAAAAAAAAAAAAAACCCAAAGGATCAGGGACAGCACCCAAGCCCTGAGTTCAAGTCCCAGGACTGGGGGGCGGGGGGGGGAAGGAGGAGGAAAAAAGTTATTCATTGAGCCTTAGCTCCACTGAACTCACAAAAAAACAATAATCCTTGTCTTAGAGAGACAGTTCCAAGCCTGGACAATGGACCCACATACTGACTCTGCCCCTTACAACTGTGTGAGAGTATGTTGTTACGGTCATAACATAAATACTCACCTCTGAAGTTGGCTGAGGATTCATGGAGTGAATCCATGTGAGGTGCACAAGGCAGTGGGCTAACACAGAGTGAGTCCTCCATGAGTACTTGCTGTTACTATAAAGGTAACGTTGGAATCTAGTAAGGTCCTGAGGAGAACCGGCCATGAGCATCTTCAATAGATGATGGTTTCCTTCCTCAGCCACCCTGTCCTGTGTACCAGGTCAGCATTTCCTTAGAACCGCAGATGAAATGTTTCAGACAAAGGAGAATTCTCTAGCCTGGTCAATATTGCTATCATCAAGATTCTTTAGCTATTGACTGCATGGACAATATGACTGCCAATGTTCTCAAGAAAACACATTCAGAGCATCAAGCAAGAAATATTTCCTTTGAAAGCAGACTTCTTGGGCTGTAATTTGAGGACAGTTTAGGAAAAAAAAAAACCACTACTTTTCAAACCCATCTTCAGAGTTGTAGTCAAATTGAATGTCATTGGGATTCTTACCCTGGATTAGACATTTCCATAACTCTTGGCTTTCTACTATTTTTCTATCTAAGCTCACATTTTAAAATAGAAATATTCATTCAGTCTTTATAACAGTTTTATGACAGGTCTATATTTTCAAACACTTGAATTTATTAATTAGAAATTTAAGCTAGGTGCTGGTGGCTCACACCTGTAATCCTACTCAAGAGGCCAAGGTCTGAGGGTGGTTTGAAGCCAGTCCAGACAGCTTTACAGTCCATAAGATTCATCTTCAATCACCCACCAAAAAAAAAAACCCTAGAAGTGGAACTGAGG